GATAGTGCTACGCTGTTTCACAGTCCTGACGGCCAGTGGCAAAAAACAGTCGATGTTTTCGTTACTGAAACAGTAAAGTAGAAGAAATTCGCAGCTCTTTATAGCGCTTTTCAGTAAGGATCTCCCTTTTCCAACTCTTCAGTGTGTTCCAAAGTCTCATCTACAATACTTTGTCGTCTATCAGCTGTGTTGTAGTGTTACACATAATGCAAAAAAATACCAGCCAGAATAATTGCATGTTTAAGGATCTTTGAAATAACCGTAGAGGTCCTGAAAACACAGGAGTGGCTGCGAGCTTCTCAAAATTTACAGCGCCGTGATTCTGATGTCCGCGGTAGAACCGCAGTTGTAAGTAGTTGTAAAGTTCGCCCCTCAGCTCCGTTTCCCGAATCGCCTGAAAGTTTCGAAGGAAAACACAGATGATTTCATCTAAAGGATAAGGTCTAAAGGACAATTCAGAGAAAAATCCGTATGCATAAGTGTTTTTGTGAAATGCTGTTTCGATCTAAGGGCGGTAATCCATACTAAACGGTGAGTTATTATTAACGAGGAACACAGACAGACAGACAGATAGATAGATAAACCCAGCTTGTTGCTTATCATCCGAAGCCGAAGCTTTTGAATTTGCATGTGGCACGTGGGACACTGACCGTAAAAGTTCCCATGCTGGTCAGATATAAGTTTTTATTCTACTCGGCACATAAATTGACCGACTACCTATCAGAGCGGGCCAGCTCTTTATAATGAAGAGAAAAGAGAGATACACTTTAGTTTCAAAATAGAATTCCGAAATATTCAGTAAAAATATTCTCCATTTACAGTTAAGCACAAAAATGCGTACAATGTCGGACGATTACAAACAATGCATAATGGCCGAACACTATAATTGGTCAACATTATGACGAATGATCCTTGAAGGAGTCGCGAAATTTAGACAAAACTGGACTTCCTTCAAAACGGTGCCAGCATCATGCGCTAATGACCTCATTTTTATAGTTTGAATAAACAATGAGGGATAGTCATCGGTTTGGTAATGCGTGCAGTAGGCCAACCAATGTATGCATAAGAAATTTGCATGCGAATGGTAGGCAGAGAAAATGGCGACTCAGTGCTAGTGATTATCCGGTGTATGGTCGACTAAATGTCAGAGCAGCTAGACGCACCTACCAGTATAGGCAGGAGTTCACGCTCTTTTTTGTCCCATTTAGCCAATCAGCGATGAAGACCACGGTGAAAACGGCGTCTATGAATTGGAGAGTTCTCTCCAACAGACCTCCGAGGGTGACGCGGGCTGCTCTAACGCTTGGTTCGCCCTCAACGACCGGCTGGCCCAGGTAATTGAGACCACCTTCGAGTGCTTGGTCGGTTGTTTCACCTCCGTTCTCGGACGACGGTGTCTTGGTGAAATTCTACAGAGGCTGGACGCCGAAGCAGCCGCCTTGTGTGATCACCACTCCACGGTGGACGAGGAACACTTCTTGAAGGATACTGTAAGTTACTGTTGGGTCTATCTTAAGACGATGTGTATCTGTGTGTTGGCGAAAAACAAACGCTTCTGTAAGGTCAACATCATGGATGACAGAGCGGTAATTAATGAGCAAGTTTACACCGTTATTGAACAACCAGAGGGTTGAGTCTTGGATTTGTGGCGGACAGCCACTTTTTCTG